GAGCGTTGGTTCCTCGTTTAACGTTAACGCCTTGCAGGAGTGTCTGTTTTCTTTTTGGTTACCTTTAGTCTTTTTGTTGGTCGTTTCACTGGCGTGTTCTGAGAAAAAGTGCATTCTTCATCATTTTCGGCTTGACAAGCGTAGGAGCGAATCTCTCTTATGTTATGTTTTTCGTTATTAACTGCCACGTCCATATCTTCCCGCCTAAGGAGCTCCTCTCTGCCCGAGTTTTCCATCGTTAGCATAAGCTAACTTTAGCAGCGCTTCTTGAACTCTTTAAGCGTAAACAACGGCGAATTATTAACGACAACGGTCTTCTTCAAAGTTATCTATCCACTTACTTTGGCAACGAGTGGCTAATTTAAGAAAAGTTTGTGCAGTAATGCCACATTTTTGTTAGCGTCTCAAAATACAACGATTCTTGTTTTGTGAAGCTTAAAATCACTTTGGAAGAAATAAAATATACAACAGCGGTATGAATTGAAACATTGCTTTATTATTATCATTAGGCTGTTATAAATAAGTATTTGCAGGAATTATAGTATGAATAATATATAATTAAAGTACAGTAAATATTAACTGATGACTTATTTAACAACTATGCGTGGGCCGAGCGGTCGAGATATACGTCATCACGTTTTGTGCGCGGTGGCTTCTGGGACAAACCATATATGGAAGTTCAACTTCCGTCACGTTTGTCCGCAGAAAGCAGTAAAATGTGCGCCGTGCAGCTGCTGCGGGTGTCGGTCCACGAGCGGATCAGCGCCGCCGCTGAAGACGTTCTGCTGCGGGTGGAAACGGGAGAAGAACCGGCGGAAGTCCCGGCGCTGAGAGCGCTGCTCACCGAGCGGCTCGCGGCGGCCGCGGAGGAGATCGTCGGTGTGTTCGAGGAAACCGTGGCGGAGTACGAAGCCAGAGCTGAGCGGGCAGAGCGGGAGGTCTGTCGCCAGAGGAGGCTGCTGGAGGCCGTGCTGAAGCCCGAAGTCCGGCTGCACAGAGCAGGTCAGTCCCGGAGGAAACCCCGGACATGCTAACGCACACACACTCTCACACTTCCGCTCTACTTCACAATAAAAGCCCCGCCGGCCACAGTCAGAGGATGGAAGGATTCAGTTCTTTAAACCAAAACGTTTATTTCAACGTACACGGCGGAGCGTTGAACGCTCTGCTGTGTACGCAAGGGCGATGCACTTTACTGCCTGTTTATTATGACAGTGTTAATATACACTAGTGTGGCTGCTGATTGGGTAACACCTCTGACACGCCCACTAACCGGGAGAAAACACCTTGAAGTCTCAGCGCAACGTTGCACACAGTAAACTGTCCATTATCAACCGCTTATCCTGCGTACAGGGTTGCGGGCGACTGGAGCCAATCCCAGATTATACTTCTGCGTCAGGTATTTATATATTTCTACATTTATTTATGTTGACTGTATGTCTGTCTGTGAGCAGCACCTCAACACCAAAACAAATTCCTCGAGGGAAGAGGGTCAGAGACAGGGAGTATAATATAACTAGAACAAAACCGACTACATACCATAAAACCCTGGAACAGCTGCTAGTTAATGAAGCCACAGTACAAATGTATTTATTATAATATATTTTCAAAATCCCTCTAACACCCCTAAAGTAAAGAACTCACTTCAGCTGAGCCCCTGAGTAGATAACTAAATAATCCAGCTCATCATCAGTCTGACCACAAACTGCTGCTTTGACCTCGTCTCTGCTGTCTGTCTCATGGTCACCATGTCAGCGCTGCTGCTCCTGGCCAGTTGCAGGTAGAGAACTTAAAATCTTTACTCAAGAAAAAGTACAATTACTCCCATAAAAAGGAAAAGGAAAAAATGACAAAGCTACTCATGTATAAATATAATAATATATTTTATCTGCTGTTCAGGTTTGAAACAGCTGCAACATGGTTCTTTCTAGGCAATGAAATTTGCTTTGCTGCCTGATTATCTTTAGTTATTTCTGTTTAATAATTATTTTCCTCTTTAAATCTCCATGAATGTGTTGATAAGATCACTTTAAAATATCAGCTTTCTGCCCGGCCGACTGTTGTTGCCTGTATCTTTTATTAGGGAGATGTAGCCGACCAAACCGCTTGCTTTGCAGCAGCAATCTGATTATTCCTGAAGCATCTAAATAATCTTCACAACACAAAGAATGATTGTGGCAGCAACACGGAGCAGCTCGTTGTTGAAGATACAGAGGAAGCTGTGCGTCATGCGTAAAACCCAACAGGATGTTTTATCCACCATATTTTCTCTCTGTGCATCTCAAAAATAAATAACAGCTGGTAGCTGCTGAGTGAAAGATTCGTTTCACCGGCGACCTTCTGTTCACAGTAACCAGTGTAAAAAAACAGGCTAATATCCATCAGAAGAAAGCGATGCTCTCTTCAACAACAGGATACTGTTAATATATCAGAATCAATCTAGTGATGTTACAGTGTGAAGTTTACGTTTTCTCTGCAGAGACTAAAGACGCTTTCAACGTGCCGTTAATGGAAAGTGAAAGTATTTATTTGCCCAACGAAGGTTAAAATCAAGGGCAACTGGACTTGGTTGAAGATACTGGAAGACGTTTCGTCCCTCATCCAAAGGACTTCTTCAGTTCTGACTAACTGGCAGGGAAACTCAGCTATTTAACCTCAGTGGGGTCGTTGGCCCGGGTCATCGATACCGCTGGTTCGTTAGTGTTCCTGGTTACTGTAACGACAGTCGTTAAGACTACCTGTGGCCGAGACTGAACGACCATCGTTGGTATCTTCACCTGAGGCCAATAGGTTACGTTTGTTGAGTTTCCTGGGAAGTGATGAAAGGACAGCATTGTAAGTGGGGGATAAGTGGTGGCGTAGACCCCCTCCCCTGTTCAATGACGGCTTCTCAACCCTGGTGTAGATGCTTCCTTGACACCTCTTTCAAACCATCCATCTTCTCTGTCCTGTTCACTTCAGCAACATCCTTGGAAAGTCTGGTGTGAATCACGCTCTTGAGGTCATGCATCTCAGTCGGATTGAGGTCAGGACTCCAGAAGGTGTATTTTCTTCTGCTGAAGCCGTTCTGTTGTGGATTTACTTCTGTGTTTTGGGCCATTGTCCTGTTCCACCATCCATCTCCTGAGGAGCTTCAGTTGGTGGATAGATGGCTTTACATTCTCCTACTAAATATCTTGATAAATGGAATTCATGTTTCCGTCAATGAAGACGTCTCTTGTATGAGAGATGAAACAACTTCTAGTATCTTCAACCACGTCCAGTTGCGCTTGACCTCAACCTTCATTGGATTACTATAACCTGGATGACTGAGAACCTTCACAGATGATAGCAGCCCTTCCAGGCCCTGAGGCAGCGAAGCAGCCCCAAACCATGATGCCCCCTCCACCATACCTCACAGTTGGGATGAGGTTTTGGTGTTTTTCCCTCCACATATAAGATTGTGTGTTCCTTCTAAACAACTCAACTTTGGTTTCATCTGTCCACAGAATATTTAGCCAGTAGTGCTGTGGAACATCCAGGCGCTCTTTGGCAAACTTCAGACGTGCAGCAGTGTTTTTTTTGGAGTTTTCCTCTGTGGTGTCCTCCCATAAACTCCATTCTTGGTCAGTGTTTTATGTATCGTAAAGTCGTCAACAGAGATGTTAGCATGTTCCAGAGATTTCTGCAAGTCTTCTACTGACACCCTACGTTCCTTCTTAACCTCACTGAGCATTCTGCTCTGTGCTGGTGCAGTCGTCTCTGCAGAACGGCCACTCCTATGGAGAGCAGCAACAGGCTGAACTTTCTCCATTTTATAGACAGTTTGTATAACTGTGGACTGATGGACATCAAAACTTTTAGAGATACTTCCGTAACCTTTTCCAGCTTCATGCAAGTTAACAATTCTTAATCTGAGGTCTTCTGAGAGCTCCTTTGGTCGAGGCATGGTTCACATCAGGCAATGCTTCATGAGAACAGCAAAATTAAAAGTGATGTGTTTTTTATAGGGCAGGGCAGCTCTAACCAACACCTCCAATCTTGTCTCATTGATTGGACACCAGGTTGGCTGATTCCTGACTCCAATTAGCTTTTAGAGAAGTCACTAGCCGGTGATTCCAAAGAGTTCACATATTTTTTCCTGCGACTGTATGTCATCCTCAGTGAAAGCACATTTAATCTTACACTAACATATATATATATATATATATATATATACACTACCTTAAACAATAGCCACATTGTATCCACGAGTTTTTGCCTTTGTCAATGCAAACTGGACCAGCTGGAGAATATAAACTATGCATCATCGTCTCATTGGTTTGATTCAGGGACCGGACCTTTTAGATATGAACCCTCCCTAAAACAACATTTTACTGGCTAAGATAGGTCCAATGATTAATCAATGAATTGAGACAAAAACCCTGAAGATTAATCAATGATGAAAATAGTCGTTAGTTGCATTAAAACAAAACTGGACTGTTGCTCAGACTGATTAAGCAGCAGAGAACAGGTAAGTACTGTGCAGACATTCTGAACCTGCTGAAGAAAAGGATACGTGAGGAAGTCTAATCTTTCATTGTTGTAAGCTTGTAATTTGGTGCCGGGTGTGTCAGAGGTTCCTCAGGTGTTGTTTTGTCTCCTCAGAGTTTCTGCAGTCGGTGACCCTGAACCACACAGAGCTCCAGCCTCCAGATGACCCTGCAGACCTGAACCACACAGAAGCTGAACGAGTCGACAGCGATGCTTCCTGGCTGCCGACGCCTCGCTCTGCCTCACCAACCTACCACCCACGTGACTCACCAAGTAACTTGGCCGTCCACAGTGATGGTGTTTCAGACAGCGACTGGACCACAAAGAGTCAGGCTCTGAGCTGCCCGAGGAAAAAAAAGAGAGGGCGGCTGCACAATGGAGAGAAATCGTACAACTGCGACATCTGCTGCAAGAAGTTCATCCAGAAGGGCAACCTGACATCACACATGCGCATCCATGCCACGGAGAAACCCTTTAACAGCGAGGAGGTGCACTGCTGCAGCGTCTGCGGTCAGGAGTTCAGGAAGCAGCACAGCCTGCGACGGCACATGGCGACACATCAGAATGCCGACAAACCGAAGAGATACCGTAGCTCTGCGCCGTCCTACCGCTGTAAAGTGTGCGGGGACGCCTTCGACAAGAGGACCTTGTTGGTGAAACATGTCCAGACTCACCTGCAGGACCCGGACTGCCGCTGCGGGCTCTGCGGACACCAGTACGAGTCCGCCGCCAGCCTCGATGCTCACCTGCAATCCCACCGTGAGATCGGCTACACCTGCCATTTCTGCGGGAAGTCCTTCCCGGCTCACACGGCGCTGGAGATGCACATGAGGATCCACACCGGTGAGAAACCTTACATCTGCAGCTTCTGCGGGAAGTCCTTCAACCAGAGCGGCAACCTGAAGACGCACCTGAAGATCCACACCGGTGAGAGGGCGTTCTCCTGCAGCCTCTGCGGGAAGGGCTTCACCCAGAGCATCAACCTGAAGACGCACCTGAAGACGCACACCGGTGAGAGGGCGTTCTCCTGCAGCCTCTGCGGGAAGGGCTTCACCCATAAACAAACTCTGGACACTCACGTCCGCTTCCACAACAAGGAGAGACGCTTCCTGTGCCAGGTGTGCGGGAAGGGCTTCATGCAGAACGTGGACCTGAAGAGACACATCCTGATCCACACCGGAGACAAACCGTACAGCTGCAGGGTGTGCGGGAAGAGCTTCCAGGCCAGACGATCGCTCAACGGACACCTCAAAGTCCACAACGCAGGGGGGTCAGGACCGGAGCTGGATCAGACCTTAGAGCAGCAGAACATGGACAGTACTGATTTCTTAAAATACTCCAACAGTAACAAGAGTTAATGTGACCCGTTACTTACACCACTGATTCTCAGTGACTAGTTTAAACTAGTATTTCAATAAATCAGGTTGCACCATTAAGAGTTGTGTGAATGTGTTGCTAGGAAACGGCTGTCGTTGGGTCTTTGGACGCGCTGAATCAATCCCAGACTTAACTGATCAGGTCTAAGAGCAGCAGGTCGAGAACATAGACTGTATAAAAGAAGTGGACGTAGTCATGATGACGTCACCCGTTGGTTTGTGGATCGCTGTTTTGAAGCCTTGAGTTTTGTTTTTGCGACCAGCGGCACCGGACGAGACCGTATTTGGACGAGATGGTGGAGCCAGCGGCCGTGTGCGGAGCTAGCTAGCGTGCTTAGCTATTTTAACAGGGCTGATAACTTTGGCTAGTGACAAACAGTCTTAAAACTAAATGTACTCAGCAGAGAAAGTGAGCAGCCGACTCCTGATGAGCTTTTTCTGCGGCGCTGGTTAAATGTACACAGAGCAGGGATACGAGTTGCTCGTATCCTGATTCACGGGTCGCCATGGTAGTGACTTGTCAATCAGCTTGTAGCCCCGCCCTAAAGCCTCCCCTGCTTCCTGGTCTCTGTTCCTGTAAATGGAACCATAATTTACTAAATGAACATCAAGCTGTGTTGAAACTAGCGACTGAGACCATAAAGGTAATAAATCAGCTGAGAAGTAGAAACATTTTCTCAGACTTCTATGCAATCACACTTCTTTCTGCAGCCGCTGGAGTCGCCCCCTGCTGGCTGCTGGAGAGAACGCAGGTTTAAGGTGCTTTCAGCATTGGCTTTACTTGCGAGAGCCAGAGGTTCCTGCTTGACAAAAACACAACTTAATAACTTTATTCTCTGGTTTTGGTGGATCAGGTGGTGATGGAGTGTGAGAGAACCGGGTTCAGTTCCCCACTGTGACCCATCCACCATTGTGTCCCTGAGCAAGACACTTGACCCCTCGTTGCTCTAGAGGCGTGTGACCTCTGACATGTAGAGCAATTGTAAGTCGCTTTGGATAAGTGTCAGCTAAATGAATAAATGTAAATGGTGAAACTGGATCAGATTTGATGGAGAAAATATTTTCTGGTTTTCCCTCGGATGTCCTTCCGGCTGCTCTGCCTCCACTTTTGGAGATTTACAGAGTTTGTCACCATTTACTGTAGCCGCTAAATACTGCCAACAGCTGCTGTTGCTAGCTACTCAGTTAGCCGTGCAGCTAGCCGGATTGGAAGCTTGGTGCTCTGGGGGTGTGTTGGTGTTTATTAGAGCTGCAACTAATGATAATTTTCATTATTGATGAATATGTCGATCCTTTTCACGATTAATTGATTAGTTGTTTGCATTTACATTTACTCATTTGGCAGACGCTGTTATCCAAAGCGACTTACATTTGAGGAACAACATACAAGCATCAATACAGCACGAGATCTACAACTGACAATACAAGCTAGTAAGGGCAGCAATAAATAATAGTAAGAGCTAATAGCACGTATATGGCATTAATGGGGTAAATACCTAGGGAAGGAAGGGTTAACAAAAAGTCATGTTTGCTCTATAAAGCTGATGATACACAGTGCAACTTTCAGAGCAATCGTGCAGGGCAACATAGCCGTCAATGGTAATGAGTAATTGTTGGGCTTCTGTAAATAACATCACAGAGTTCGGTCTAGACCTGCTGTTTTATGAAAAGCGCTGTGAGATAACTGTTGTTGTGATTTGGCGCTATATAAATAAAATTGAATAGAAATAAAGATTACTACCGTAATCCCCTTCCCCCACCACCCGCCCCGCAACGCTGCTATCCATTCAAAACATAGTCGGACTTGCCACTAGCAAGATTGCCCAGCAACATTGCTAAAAGTTGCCCCGTGTATCATCAGCTTAAAATTGTGAAAAATGTCCATCAGTGTTTCCCAAAACCCAAGGTGGCATCCTCAAATGTCCACAACCCAAAGATATTCAGTTTACTGTCATAGAGGAGGAAAGAAACCAGAAATAATTCACATTTGAGAAGCTCACATCAGAGAATTTGGACATAGTTTCTTAGAAAAATGAATCAGAACAAATCAATTATAAAATTATCAAAATAGTTGGCGATAATTTAATAGTTAATCGACTAATCGTTGCAGCTCTAGTGTTTACACCTCTAACATTAATACAGTTTTCCATTCTACTGCACCTTTAGAAGTTTTTAACACAAGCAGCTGAACAGAACTGAGAAACTCTGATCTCATACAGTGAACATGCTGATCAGACCGCCTGCAGCCTCAGCGACGAAGGATCAGCTAATTCATCAGCGCTTAACAGAGTTTTCCTCAGTCTGCTGGATAATAAAATGTTCTGTTCAAAGGATGCACTTTGCTTCTTTTCTGTCTGTAAACACTACAATACCCATGAGCCTCTGCTGCTGTGGAAACCTGTCACCACATTTTAGTTTGAACGTGTTTGGTTTTCTTTTCCAAGTTCAGAAATCTTTGACCAGCGACTCAGATAAGTTTTCTGATTATAGTTTTTCACATTTTCTTTAATTGTTTATACTTATATTAATACTTAATATTTTCTGTACATGTTCCAAAGTGCAAGTCTAAAGACTGCTTTAAAGTGTCTATGCTGTCATGAAACTTAACCTGAAAACAATCACTTTTACAGATACTGAGTTTGTGTGTATTTGTACTTCTGCTCAGGTCTTCTGCAGTACTTTTACAGTAAATGCAGACCTGAACAGTTGTTTGTTAGTAGTAACCGTGACAGTAAGTACTAGAAGTTCAGTTTCCACTGGTATTAACAAATACTTGTTGCTTTCCCTAGTGGTAGTAGTGTCAGTATCGGTAGTATCAGTATTATCAGTAGCAGTATCAGTTATCAGTGGTATTATCTGTGGTAATATCAGTAGTAGTAGTATCAGTGGTATTATGAGTTATCAGTAACATCTAGTATCAGTAGTAGTAGTATCAGGGGTATTATCATTTAACAGTAGTAATCAATAGTTGTAGTAGTGTCAGTACTGCTATCAGTAGTATTATCTCTAATATTAGCAGTAGTTTTCTCAGTGGTAGCTCTAACAGTAGGCTATCGTCCGGTCCAGCAGGTGGCAGCCTCAGGCTCTCGCTCCTCTCACAGTGACTCGTTGACCCGGAACAGACGCGTGTTGTTTTCCTGCGGACCGGGGGACGGAGCCCTGGACCGGGATGTCTCTGACAGAAGCCCCGCCGCGCTGCGGGCTGCGGGCCCTGACGGTGTCGGTGTCGGAGCAGCTGACCCGGGTCGGGGAGGAGATCTTGGTGCTGCTGGAGAAGCGCGGCGGCTCCGGAGGCCGCCTGCTGCGGCCGCTGCGGCTGCTGATCACCGAGCGGCTGACGGCGGCGGCCGGGCAGATCGTCGGGCTGCTGGAGCGGGAGGTGGAGGAGTACCGGCGGCAGCTGGAGCGGCAGAGCCGGCTGCTGGAGGCGGTGCTGAGCCCGGTGGTCCGACTGAACCGGACAGGTGAGTTCAGAACCCGGTTCCCCTACAGACTGCTGCTAGGTATCCACAGGTCACTACACTCTGTAAACAGGAACAGAGGGACGCTGTTGGGGCGGCTGTGGCTCAGGAGGTAGAGCGGGTTGGCCGTTAATCGGAAGGTCGGCGGTTCGATCCCTGGCTCCCCCTGGTTGCGTGCCTGTATGAATGAGTGTGAATGTTAGTTTCCGTTTGAGCACTTAGGCTCAGTGTATGAATGTGTGTGACTGGTGAATGCAGATGTAAAAAGACTAGAAAGGCGCTATACAAGTACGGAGCATTTACATTTACATCCAGCTGATCAGACTACATCTGATATCAGCAGCCGGAGGCTTCGGGAGGAAAATCAGCTGCTGAATTGATCTGAATTGTTGACTATTGATGTGAACTGTTGTGATGGTGGTAAACAGCAGAAATACAGCGTTCACGTTACAAAGTCATCCAAAGTGGTCCGGCCTCGGTGCTTCTCCGTCCTCAAGAACAACACGCACCACAGTGGCGCCACGTAAAAGTTGAAGTTCCTGCTTCTTTTTCTGTGGCGGCCTTCCTGTGTACTGTTGTTGTTGTTGTTGTTGTTGTTGTTGTTGAGAGTGACGGCAACTCCAGCATGTGACTCATGTACAGACTCATTTGTAAAGTTTTGACATGAAGTTCTTCTTACAGACGCACCAGTCTGATCCATTCCACCTGATTCTTCGGACCGGGTCTCGTCCGTGATGTGACAGATCCACATTAAAATGTCACTGTGATTATGAAAAGGCTGCGTCATCAAATCAGAAGTAAACTCAGCCGCTCGTCTGCAGCAGCAACAACTTGACCAGCTCTTTGAAGCTGCATGAACTAATTATCATTTACATTTTTTTCTTCCAGATTCCCTGAGCTCGTCCACCTGCAGGACGACCAGCGCCGACGGAAACCTCCTGCTGTCTGAGGCCGACCCAGACCGCCTCCCCACAGCCCCGCCCAGTTCCGCCTCCTCAGACGTCTCTGCAGCTGAGAGCGAGGACACCGACGAGGACTGGAGAGGAAGCGACAGCTCCGCCACTAACAAAGAAACAAGCGGGACGAGGACGGATGGAAGACGGAGCTCTGGTGGTCGGAGACGGGAGGCGGCGCCATCGGACCGGCCCGCTCATCGCTGCGTCATCTGTGGAAAAACTTTCCGGCATAAAGGGAATCTGGTGAAACACGTGGAAACACACTCAGACAACCCAGAGTGTCTCTGCGGAGTCTGTGGCGAACACTTCAAGTCTTCAGACGGTTTGTTCGACCATCTCAGATCTCACAGAGAAACTGACAGCGGCGGCGGGACATGTGAGATTTGCGGGAAGACGTTTCAGAACATGGAGACACACATGAGGAGTCACACCGGAGTCAAACCGTACAGATGCGACGTCTGCGGCAAGAGCTTCCCCCGACCCGGAGCACTGAGGAGACACAAGAAGATCCACAGCAGGAGGACGCCTGACGTCTGCCCGATCTGTGGACTGACCTTCACCCAAAACCAGCTGCTCCAGGATCACCTAAAGACCCACGAAGAAGACGACGGTGACCAGAGCGAGGACGAGGACGGTCAGTCAGAGACACTGAAACCAAAGAAAGATCGGAGGCAGAGCTCTGGACTGAAGTCATCTCAGTTCTCCTCGCTGTGCTGCAGAGTCTGCGGTGATTCCTTCCACAGCCGAGGGTTCTTGAGGAAACACGCTGAGACGCACTGCAGGGAGTCTCAGAGCGTCTGTGGCGTCTGTGGACAGCAGCTAGACTCACCTGACGCTCTGCTGACTCACCTGCAGTCTCACCGGGAGACCAGCGGCACCTGCAGCATCTGCGGTAAGAGTTTCCAGAACATGGAGACTCACATGCGAAGCCACACGGGGATCAAACCGTACCGCTGTGGCGTCTGCAACAAACGTTTCCCCCGACCCGGAGCGCTGAGGCGCCACAAGAAGATCCACGGTGGGGAGCGACCGTACGCCTGCCAGCACTGCGGGAAGACGTTCATCGAAAGCAGCGCCTTAAAGACTCACAGCAGGAGCCACTCATGGGAGATCCACGACGATGAGGATGCCGAGCCTCCGCCGGACTCTCAGAGCCTGAAGTCTGAGACGGAGATCAGGCCAACTGTCAGAGAGAACGCCAAGGTGTCGACTCAGACGTCTCACAGCTGTCAAGTCTGCGGGGAGGCTTTTCAGAGTAAAGGTAGTTTGAGGAAACACGCTAAGAGTCACTCAGCAGAGTCTGTGTGCGGCGTCTGCGGTGAAAGTGTACTGCCACCAGAGACCCTGACGGACCACCTGCAGGGTCACAGAGACGCCGGCAAAATCTGTCACATCTGCGGTAAAACCTACCAGAACATCGAGACTCACATGCGGAGTCACACCGGCATCAAACCGTACTGCTGCGGCGTCTGCGGTAAATCCTTCCCGCGGCCTGGTGCCCTGCGGCGCCACAAGAGGATCCACAGCGGGGAGCGACCGTACATCTGCGAGTTCTGCGGGAAGACGTTCATCGACAACGGAGCTCTGACGACGCACATCAGGAACCACACTGGAGACAAACCAGCCCACCGGGTCTCCTGTGAGACCTGCGGGAAGAGCCTGGCGTCAGTCCACGTCCTGGAGGTCCACAAGAGGATCCACACAGGCGAGAAGCCGTTTCAGTGCCGCGTCTGCGGGAAGACCTTCAGGCAGGTGGGAGGGCTAAACGCCCATATGCTAACCCACACCGGGGAAAAGCCGTTCAGCTGCAGCCTCTGCAACAAGAGCTTCAGCACCAAAGGATACCTGGAGACCCACATCCGCTTCCACAAGAAGGAGCGAGCGTTCAGCTGCCACCTGTGCTGGAAGGCCTTCGTCACCAAGAACGACCTGAAGAAACACCTGCTGACGCACACCGGCGAGAAACCCTACAGCTGCAGGGTCTGCGGGAAGAGCTACCAGGAGAAACGCTCCAGAGACGTCCACATGAAGGTCCACCTGGACGTCCGGATCAGCAAAGAACCAATCAGGAGGCAGGACGGTCTGCAGCCAGACTTCATACAGCTGTAGAGTTCACACAGACCGGGTTCATATTTACAAACTGACGGACCACCAGCGGGGTCATCAGCAGACACAAAACTCTTTGTCTTTGGACCCAGAATCACCAAAAATTTTATAAATTATCCTCTAAAGTTCAAATATGTTTCACAAAAATCTAACTTTTTTATTTTTCAATTTTAAAAAATGTACAAACTGTATTTTCAGACGTTTGTTTCAGCACGTAGATTCATTTTGTCGTTTTAGAGCACGGCCGAGTATATTTCAGGATTTTAAAATCCAATATTTTGGCCGATATACTTATTCGACTGACCTCCAAACACGTGTTGCCAATAGCGGAGCTGCAGAGCGCCCTCTGGTGCACAAACTATGCAACAACACTGATAACCGTTTCTTTTGAATTGTCAAATATGAGCTAATATGAACAGTGATACTGATTAATGTGCAACTAGCTCATATCACTGATTTATCGGTCGGGCTCTAATCATTATGTCATGAATCTTGATAAATGAGAACGTTTACCATCCTGTCATATTTACATTAAACCTGCAGGAACTGATTCTCTGTTAGCTCTGTCTCCAGCAGCTCCTGAGGGAATTACCTGGCTCTTTAGCTGCTGAACGCTCCTCTATGTTCGCCACATTGAGCGCCATCAGAATCCAACGGGGGCGGAGTGGTAGTGGGCTGGTAAGCCCTCCGATGCAGCTTGTTGAAGGTGTGTAACAGCCTTGGCTGCACGACGGAGGACTTTCTTTCACATGTGACTTTGCAGGTTCACATGTAGGATTTTTAAATCCTGAAACTACCAACATTTCATATCATCATTCACAGGTTAACAACATTGTGTTTAAATAAAAAATGATCTTGTCTGATAGACAGCTGTTGTTTTTATTGAATCATATTCATCTTATACGAAAATCACCAGCCAAAACAAAATAGCCGACATGAAACGACAGAATAATAGAAGAGTTCAGTAACAAGCAAGAAAGAAAACTAGTTAAGTCTTTTTACTTTTTAACTTTTGAAATGTATTTGTGAATGTAATATATTTTAGATAAGAGGTTCAAATATACACATTGGCTTTTCTTTACAATGATTATGAATCTTTTCATAAAAGAATAGAAGTTATATTTTGTAAATATCTAAAGTCAGTCTTAAAGAAATATTTGACACAAACACAGAATGAATAACAAAAGCTTTCAGTTTCATTATTTAAAAAAATAAACTTTTCCTCAACATCAATCCTGAATCTTAATACAGCTGCTGGTTATTTGATCCACATGTTACAGCAGTGAGTGCAGCGGTGACATCACATCCTGTTTACGCTGGGGGGGGTAGTTTGTGGTGGCGAGGGACTAGTTTCAGGAAGGCCCTGAGTCTGTTCGTCAGTAACACGTTTATTTTAGGTTTAAATGAAACAAAGTCACAAATAATGTTAATAATAATAATAATGTTAACTGTCTGGGATCCTTGACTGTGTCCCTGGGGTAACTGAACGAGTTCCAGGGGTCCTTGAATTATTCCAGAGAGCGTTCAGATATTCCCATGAGTGACTGAATTAGATCAATGACCAGTGTAATGAGTTCTGGGGGTCCTTGAAACGCTCCAGAGGTCTTTAAATCAGTTCAGCTTCAGAGAAACGGACTTCCTCCTGGAGTGTGAAGTATTCAGATCCTTTACTGCAGTAAAAGTACTAAAACCACACTGTGAAAAATCAATAACTGCAGTGAAATGTTGTACTGTCCTCTCCTCAGATTCTTCTTCTTCACAACCAACAGTCCAAAACTCATTAAAATAACACATTAGTGAAACTGGAACCATGAAACGTTTCTACATGAAAAATGATGTAAGCCATCAAAATAGTTTCTTTCACTTGACTGTCAGCTGTTTAAGCTGTTGGAGTTTAATTTATAACATTTTATTTTAAAAGCTCTTTGTAACAGTCTGACTTTGTAAAGTAACTGAAGCTGTCAGATAAATGTAGTGAAGTACAACACAAAGTGACATGAGAGGAAAATACTCAAGTACAAATAGCCTTCCTCTGACTTGTACTTGTGACGTGTACTTACTGTCTCCACACGAGCTTTTATTGTGAAGACTTCCGGTCCGCCGCTGCCTCCGTGTGGACTGTTTCCGCTCGTTAAACCGGCAGCAGCGGCGTCTTCTCTCCTCATCCCGGTGTTTCCAGTCGGTACCGACATGTTGCAGCTCGACCTGCTGCGGCTGTTTGTCGACCAGCAGCTCGCCGCCGTCACCGACGACATTTTCCGCCGTTTCGCCAAAACGATCGCCGAATATGAAAGCGAAGTTTTCCGGTTAAAACAAGAGTCCGACCGACAGCGGAGGCTGCTGCAGGCTGCAGGACTACCGGGTCACGGACCGGAGGACGGACCGGGCCACGGACCGGAGGACGGACCGGAGGACGGACCGGGTCACGGACCGGCAGGTAAGTGGACAGAAGTTTAAAGTCTGCTGGTTTGAGGAAGAAAATGTCCGCCGAGTGTGACGTAGCTGTATTTTCCCGCCAGATGTCGCTGTTGTCGTTTAAACTGTAAACATGTATTTTAGCTGGTTCGCAGCTTTACTGACTAAAACATCAACTAGTTGATGGGACAAAGCAAGGAGAGCTTTGTATGCAATAAAAAGAAACATTAAAATTTAAATTCCAATTTAAATCTGGCTTCAAATTTTCCAATTTCTACTAGAACCAATAATTCGATATTGCAATTCAGAATAGACTCATAAATATAATAATTGTTCTGAACAGTTTTCAAATTATTATTATTTTCATTGTCTATTATTTAAGTAATTGTTCTCTTTATTTGTTTTTGTTTTTTAATCTCACATTTGATACTGGTTTTCTGATCAAAATTACACATTGTCTCACACACGTTTACTGTTTTAGTGTGTGTGTGTGTGTGTGTGTGTGTGTGTATGTATATAAAAACGTGTATATAATTTTTTTTTTTATATATATAATTTTTTATTTATTTTTAATAGTGATTAATGAACTGTATACAATTAATTGTTCTTTTGTAATTTATTTGTAGCTTTGGCAAGATTGTTGTTTTACATTCATGCCAATAAAGCTAGATTGAATTGAACTGAGAGACATCATTCACAAACCGACAAAGAGAGATAGATACCATTCACACAGAGACAGAGAGAGACAGAGACATCATTCACACAGACAGAGAGAGACAGAGACATCATTCACACAGAGAAAAAGACAGACAGACATCATTCACACAGAGACAGATACATCATTCACACAGAGGGAGAGGGACAAAGACATCATTCACAGAGAGAGACAGAGGCATCATTCACACAGACATAGAGAGACAGAGGCATCATTCACACAGACATAGAGAGACAGATACATCATTCACACAGAGGGAGAGGGACAAAGACATCATTCACACAGAGAGAGACAGAGGCATCATTCACACAGACATAGAGAGACAGAGACATCATTCACACAGACATAGAGAGACAGAGACATCATTCACACAGACAGAGAGAGACAGAGACATCATTCACACAGAGAAAAAGACAGACATCATTCACACAGAGACAGATACATCATTCACACAGAGGGAGAGGGACAAAGACATCATTCACACAGAGAAAGACAGAGGCATCATTCACACAGACAGAGAGACAGAGGCATCATTCACACAGAGAGACACGGAGACATTGATACAGAGAGAGACATAGACACCATTCACACACAGGGAGAGAGAGACAGATACATCATTCACACAGAAGGAGTGAGACAGATACATCATTCACACAGAGGGAGTGAGACAGAGACATCATTCACACAGATACAGAGAGAGACAGATGCATCATTCACACAGATACAGAGAGAGACAGATGCATCATTCACACAGATACAGAGAGAGACAGATGCATCATTCACACAGAGGGAGAGACCGAGACAGATGGATCAAAGACATGATTCACACAGAGGGAGAGAGACAGAGACATGATTCACACAGAGGGAGAGAGACAGAGACATGATTCACACAGAGGGAGAGAGACAGACATTCACACAGAGACAGAGAGAAAGACAAAGATATCATTCACACAGAGGGAGAGACATCATTCACACAGAGACATCATTCACACAGTCCTTTTGATATTAACTACCTGTCTTTATCTCTCAGGTGTTTTTCAGGTTTTCTCAACAGATGAACAGCAGGTGAGGGGGCGGGGCCTACATTTGCATCTTAACCAGGAAGAGGGCGGAGCTTTAGGACCAGAGGAGACCTTTACGAAGTCCATACAGAGTCATGAATGGCTGAGGGAGAGTCCTTCGTCCAATCGGATCCTGTCCTGCAGGGAGGAGGCGGGGCCTGAACCTACTGTCTACAAGAAGGAAATGGATGAGGGTCACATGATGCTGGAGGCTGCAGTCAGAGCAGAGATTAGCTCCCAGCAGGAAGGTCGGTACAAAAGGAGTAGAATCCAGAGTAACTGATGGTTTTTAGTACTACATGATGTCAGCTGTGGACACGCCACTGACCACAACCTGAAGCAGTGCATGCTGGGAGCTGAGACACAACTAAAGCCTAACATTTTCTAATGAGTCACCTTCAAACATTTCAAGACCATTGATTAAGTTACTTTTAATGAATATTAGCCTCTCAGGATCCGTCTCAGGATTTCAGGACCTGCTTCTGGGGCGTCACTGAAACTCAGAATGTTTGTTTACATCATGTTGTTCTCATCCTCCAGGTGTTCTGCAGGTTTTAACCACAGAAGAAGAACAGGGGGGGGGGCAGAGCGTCAGGCTGCACGTCAAAGAGGAGGAGGAGGAGACTGACACCAAGTTCACGCAGAGTCCTGATTGGCTGATGAAGAGCGATCATGTTCTGTTCCACAGAGGGGAGGACCTTCTCGCCGCCCCCCCAGACAGCCATCTGATAAGACCTAAACCTGGAGAGACCAGCGAACCTGCAGACCACAGCAGGGACTCCGTTGTCCAATCAGAGTCATCTACTGAAGACAGTGACGACACTCAGTCTGATCCAGGTCTGCAGAGGACTCAGGGGACTGGGACTCGCCCTCCTGCAGACCAGAATCTGCTGGTCTGCGGCAGCTGTGGCCGGGAATTCAGCTCAAAGCGAACTCTGAGGAAACACATCAGACAAAACATGTCTCAGGACCAGGACCAGATGTCCTGCAGCCTCCGCAGACCGAGGGCCCCCTTCCAGAATCCTGCCAAGTCCTTCAGCTGCAGAGTCTGCGGGAGTTCCTTCTACACGCAGGGGATTTTGGTCCGGCACGCCGAGATCCACTGCAAGGAGCCCGACAGCCGGTGCGGGGCCTGCGGGGACCAACTGGAGTCTACCGAGGCCCTGAGAGTCCACCTGCGGTCCCACAGAGAGCTGGGTAGCACCTGCGATGTGTGTGGGAAGAAGAGCAGCTCCATCAAGAGGATGGAGATCCACAAACGGGTCCACACCGGAGAGAAACCGTACCGATGCAGGTTCTGTAGTCGAGACTTCAGCAGGAAGGAGAGTCTGGAGAGACACATGAAGGTCCACACCGGGGACAGGCCGCACTGCTGTGGACTCTGCAGGAAGACCTTCACCAGGAGGGAGTATCTGGTCCACCACCTGAAGACCGGCCACACAGAGAGACCAGGTCCACCTGCAGGGGCCGAGCCGTTCAACGTGGCACTCTGAAAGCCGTCAGAACAGAAAATAAGACAGCTCGAAAGACTTTCAAGAGCTTCAGGATCTAAACGTTTCACCGAACGCCACGAAGCTTCTGTGAAGATTAAAAGGAAAATGTAAGACTTTTATAAATGAAAACCCTTAATGGAGTTTGGTGTCTGCCGGTTTCTCTTCAGATCTCAGCAGCTCGTTCACCAAGTCACTGAGTCGATCAACAGAAAATGAACGAACAGTTTTGATGATCGTTTCCTGTGTGTCTGCTGCGGCCCCTCAGGGAACACGTCCCTCAGGTAGTTTGGATCTTCAGTAAGTCGTATCCCTGAATTGTGCTGAGAGATGGAAGTGAAGTCACCTGACTGGACAGGAAACTCACCTGGATCAGTTTTTCTTGTGTTTGTCTGAGTGCCTAACATTTCTCTGAGCCGATCAGCATCATATTATCAGTACATCATCCGAACGACGGGATTTTGGTTTTACTTTTATTAAAATTCTTTTAATTTACCTCAGTGTTCAGCGACTGGTTTCATTATTATTGACTGACATTAACTCAAAAATGCAACAGGAAAGACGCCTGAACGTGATGATGTATAAATAATAATATGAGCTCAAAGAAGACATGAACAGATCAAATAAAAAATGAAAAGCCCAACCTTCAGGTTTACATTAGGATGTTTCACTAAGAGCAAAATAAGCAGGAGTTTTACATCAAGTGATGACGTCCAAATACATTTAACAAACCTGTTCACTGAATTTCAAACATATTTCAGCAAACAAATGAACATAGGAACAAATCAAAAGGTGGAAACTGTACGCCTCTTTCATAAAAAGAAGAAGGAAAATAAAACCCAGAAAGGCTTCTTCTGTTTTAATTTACGAACGGAGAATTAAAACGAACACGATCTCCGTCCACAGCAGCGTTTTAGCTGCGTATCAGAGTTGAAAACAACTGAAAACGCACAGCTAGCGGTCGTTCAGGTACACTGGGCGTGTGCGTGCCGGTGTAACCATGAAGCAGATGGTCTGTTCCGTAGTTACAGAAGATTTTGAGAAGAATAAAGGTCTGCAGACGAAGAAACGCTCTAGCATGGACCAATAACGCACTGGGACTGTTACTGAATGTAAAGTGCAATTTATACTTCTGCGTCAAATCGACGGCGTAGGCTACGGGGCTACGGCTGGGTAGCCTCGCAATGCCTCCGAGTTGACCGGAAGTACCCCGCGCTTTGAAGTAACATTTACTAGCAGTCAAAACGGCGGCTGTCACACGGTGAATCGATATATTTAATCATTGCAACCCGAGCGAAATGACTTGTTTTGCTATCAGAATGTGATCCACTCGGTCGGTAACATTTGAAAAGGCTACACCAGCCGCACGTTTACGATTTTACCTCTATTCACGTTAGTGGAGCGCTGAACCGGATGTTAACCTGCTCGGACGGAAAAAGTCAACACAGTGGACGCTGTAGCGCTACTGCCAACGGGTGTTTGGGGGTGTAAATGCAGAATGACGGACACACCTACGCACCAGTATGAACGCATGGCTACGTGCGTAGCCTACGCAGGAGTATAAATGGGCCTTAAGACAGGACTGTGTCGAAGGAAAACAGACTGGGAGTCAAAGTAAACGGCGACATGCACAGTAGCCGACAAGTGAAGGAAGATAGGCCAAAGTGTTATTTGCATGGTACAAAATATTTTATAAAAATACCAACTCAAAAACTCTGTTAGCAGCATCGTGTTTCTGCTTTGCACGACTTATAAGAGCCAATCAGAGAGCCGAGCGTCTGCGTCTGCATCAGCGTTTCTGAAGTCCTCCGTTTTGGCTGTCTGCACTAACACGCCCTCCGGAGTTTCAAAATGCAAACGGGGTCGGCAGCGTTTCCAAACTTCTTCCTTTTAGGTCTTCGTTTTCGCCGTTTCAGTCTGGACGGGAGGAGCAGACGTAGCAGAAGGTCTCCGTTTTAATTTGAAAAGCAGCAGTATGGGCGGGGCCCCCTGCTGGCCGCTAGAGAGGACGCAGGTTTAAGTCGCCCCCTGCTGGCCGCTAGAGAGGACGCAGGTTTAAGTCGCCCCCTGCTGGCCGCTGGCAGAGAGGACGCAGGTTTAAGTCGCCCCCTGCTGGCCGCTGGCAGAGAGGACGCAGGTTTAAGTCGCCCCCTGCTGGCCGCTGGCAGAGAGGACGCGGGTTTAAGTCGCCCCCTGCTGGCCGCTAGAGAGGACGCAGGTTTAAGTCGCCCCCTGCTGGCCGCTAGAGAGGACGCAGGTTTAAGTCGCCCCCTGCTGGCCGCTAGAGAGGACGCAGGTTTAAGTCGCCCCCTGCTGGCCGCTAGAGAGGACGCAGGTTTAAGTCGCCCCCTGCTGGCCGCTGGAGAGGACGCAGGTTTAAGGCGCCCCCTGCTGGCCGCTGGCAGAGAGGACGCAGGTTTAAGTCGCCCCCTGCTGGCTGGCAGAGAGGACGCAGGTTTAAGGCGCCCCCTGCTGGCTGGCAGAGAGGACGCAGGTTTAAGGCGCCCCCTGCTGGCTGGCAGAGAGGACGCAGGTTTAAGGTGCTTCAGATCTCCGAGCCGGAGCTTCCTGCTTGTCTGCAGTGAAACCTGCTGTTTGTTTGTTGACGTTCTTTAGAGAACAGAGTCATTTCCTTCCTTGTAACACAGAACATTCTGTGACGGCGCTCAGCTGGCGTCTGAGTGGTGCATTCAAGTGCAACATTTACCGTCAGACACAAGAAATATGCAAGTACAAACAGTGTTTTCATTAACAGGAGAGTGTGGGAGGTGAGTGGGGGGGGGGATCGTTTCCAGGAAGGGGTACAGAGAGGGAGAGCGTGTGTGTCGGTGTGTGTGTGTTCGTTGCTAAGTGACTTCCTGGTCCACCGGGTGTATCCTGTTAAAACACACACACACAGTCATTAACTTTACGAACACACACACAGTGAACGTGATGTCAGGATGAAACTTCCCTGCTGTAAACTCAGAGGTCGTTAAACAGTCGGCCTGCTGAGCATGAAGTTTCTGTGACGTTGATGGTTTCGATGTTTGATGACACAAATATTCAGTTTCAGTTCCAGAAATAAACTTTGATCAGAAAAATTTCCAGGTTCTAAAGTCAGGCCCGATATTAAATTAGACATTGGCAAAACTTTATTAGAAAATGTTAACACTGAATAATTTACTGAGCACAGACACCAAGATTACCTCCGTGAAGATATTTCCACCATAACATCAGAGCTCCCTGGATATAATGTGAATATTTCTTAATGAATCTACTTTACAGGTAACACAAAACACCGTCTCACACGAGGAGACAAATAAACAAAGTAGTAATTATAACTAAGTATTCTCACTTCAGTGCTCTGATCTTACGTACAGGTACTAATACCACGCAGTGAAATACTCTGTAACAAGTTAAAGTCCTGCAGTAAACATGTTACTGCAGTAAAAGTACTAATACCACACAGTGACAGTAAAAGTCGAGCCTGCAGTTCCACCCCGCTGCTGTTATTGATCCGTTCTATAAAGCTGTTTAATATGTTTTTATTTGAAAACAACGTCCTCATGAAAGGAGATACAATATTTGCTCTTTGACAAACTCTGTGTCCTGCAACACGAAGAGTCGTCAGCATCTCAGAAACCATAACTACAATACATGTAGTCTGCAGAACCAACTCAGCCTCCTGCTGCTAAAGACAAGCGTGAGGTGACGCAGGATTTTACTGTTGTACCTGCATGTGTGTGCTCTCTGTGAGCTGCTCTGCTTACTGATGTTATGATAAAATATGTAAAGTTATGAACGGACTCTGGTTCAGCAGCAGCTGCCTCCTGCTGACCAGGCCTCTCTCTGCAGTCACAGCTCACTCAGACCAACCAAACCTCTGTGTGATTACACTCCGTTTTACACACGTGTACTCGCTCACTCAACCTCTGCTGCCTTTAAAACATAAAAACATAAAATGTGTCTGAAAATACACAAACTGCTGACTGAGACACACAGAGAGTGGATGTACATTCAGTCCTCACGGTACACGTTCTGTGTACTGGAGCTGTACATGTACACACGGTACACGTTCTGTGTACTGGATCTGTAGTACACGTTCTGTGTACTGGAGCTGTACATGTACACACGGTACACGGAGCTGTGTAGAGTACATGTTGTTCTGTGTTGCAGTAGTACTTGCTGGTCTGTTAGTCAGTAATATTTGTGGATTGCCCCTTTAACAGATTGACAGCTGAGATCAATACCAGCCCCCCCCCCCGTGCCTCTTTAGGGTAATTGAATATTCCCTCCGCAGACTCGCAGGGGGCAGACACGAGCGCGCGCACACGCACACTCAGCATCGTGGTGACTGCCCTCTTGCCCTCTACACCCCACCCACCCCTCCCCGGTGCGCGCATGTTTGCGCGTGTCCGCGGTGCCGCTCGCTGTGGACAGACCCGGACCAGGATCGGTTTCCCTCGCTGTCTCCCGGCCGGCCGGACCAACAGTGCGGCTCGAGACCCGGTGAGCCTCCGGTGTGCCGACGGACCCCGAACAGCTCCCGGTGCGTGCGTGCGTGCGCGCGTGCGGGAGCTGCTGCTGGACTCTCTCCGGTTGTTGCTGTGGAAACATCCGCCCGCTCCTTCTTGTGAAGCTGAGGCTGCTGGACGCGACGGACCGAAGCTCCGAGCAGGTAAACGGACCGGTTCCGACCCACATTGACGTTATTACCCGAGCAGGACTCACGTGTTGCAGCAGTTTGACTGCAATCAGATGTGTTTGAAACTCAGACCGAGACGTTTCCTGACGTCAACACGGGGACGGAACCCTGAGCGCTCGTGTTCGTGCTTCTTCACCGCTGAGTAAAACCTCAGGAAGGTTCGTGCTGCAGGAGTTTGTCACCAGCGTCTGAAATCTTCTGCTGGTTTGTATTTCATCTGATTTCTGTGGAAAGCGCAGCTTTTGGACAGCACGAAGTATCCAGGTCTGCGTGATAAGTACAATATACAGCATATACACACAGTAATACTACAGAATGTTCTACTGCAGTAATGCAGTGTTAATTAGAATATAAGTACTATAGTGTTCTGTGTAAGATGTAAAGATGTGTGATGGAATATTACAGTAATTACATGTGTGATAAACTCAGGAACCTCTCAGGAGTATTAAAGTCACTGATAAAAATATTAAAGAAGCAAAACAAAGTCCTTGATAGAATATTATCTGTAAATCTGCATTGTGTGTTCAGACCTGGAGGCTGCTGTATAAACACTTTAAAATAAAACACAGCTGTAATAATACAAAATGAATAAACACTTAAACAAAGTCATGAAGTTCACCTGTGATGACATCACAATAAAAACAGAACACAAAGTTCTTACAGGAATATAATGAAAATGATTTCTTTAAGAAGAGAATATAATTGGTTCTGTGTCCCTTTAATGTTGCTATAATATTCCTGTTTCATGCCGCGGTTACGTTATTAAAAATGATCATACTGTTAATTATCCCAAATATTTGATGGATCAGCTTCATG